GCGCCTGCGGCGGGCTTTTTTGCATTCCTTCCAGGTGGAGAGCCCGCGACCCACCCTGTGACCAACTCGCGACCAACCCGCGACCCAAACCACGTTCAGGGTACAAACCACATTTTTCGGCGCCTGCGGCTGGCATCTTTTGCATTCGTTTCAGGTGGAGAGCCCGCGCCCCACCCGCGACCACGTTCAGGGCACAAACCACATTTTTCGGCGCCTGCGGCGGGCATCTTTTGCATTCGTTCCCGGTGGAGAACCCGCGGCCCACCCGCGAGCCAAATCACGTTCCGTGTGCAAACCACATGTTTTGGGCGCCTGCGGCGGGCTGCTTTTGCATTCCTTCCAGGTGGAGGTGGAGAGTCCGCGACCCACCCGCGACCCAAACCACGTTCACTGAACAAACCAATGCCGCACAAGCGCGGCGGCAGATTTTCGCATGCCGTCTGAGCCCGCAAGGACCTCTTCAAGCCCCGCGCATCCACACCAGCCCGTCCAGCAACTTTGCCCTGGCGAGTTGCCTTGATCAGAGAAGTCGGGGAGCATAAAGTGGAAAAAAGGATTGCGTTGCAGTTATCTTGGGAAAGGAGGGGGAGGCAGGATGAGTAAACAGGGGACGAGGAGAACGCGGAAGAAGAGAGGATGTAAGGAGAATGTGGAGAAAGAAAAGGAGGAGGAGCAGGAGGACGAGGAGGGGGAGGAGGGGGAGGAGGAGGACGATGATGATGATGATGATGATGATGATGATGATGATGATGATGATGATGATGATGATGATGATGGACGACAATGGGAGGACGATGATGGAGGCCGATGAGGGGGAGGACGACAATCGGAGGACGATGATGAAAGGACGAGGGGGGGAGAGGGAGGACGAGGAAGAAGAGGAGGAGGACGAGGTGGAGGAGGAGGATGACGATGACGATGAGGACGAGGACGAGGACGAGGACGAGGAAGAGGAGGAGGAGGAGGAGGAGGAGGAGGAGGAGGAGGAGGAGGAGGAGGAGGAGGAGAGCGCCATCGACAGGGAAGGTGGGGGCCACGAGGTCTGCCGGCTCGACGACGCCCGCGTCGCCCGCGCCCGCCCCCTCACTCTTATCCGCAATTGCGGGGTGCTACGTACAACGAGCCCGCCGCAGGCGATGATTTTCCGTCCAAGCAATGTGGGTGGGTCGCGGGGTGGGTCGTGGGTGCGCGGGTGTGTCGCGGGCGGGGTCGCGGGTGGGTCACGGGTGGGTCGCGGGCGGGTCGCGGGGCGGGTGGGTCGCGGGATGGGTCGCGGGTGGGTCGCGGGTGGGTCGCGGGCAGGTCGCGGAGAGTGTCGCGGGTGTGTCGCGGGCCGAGTCGCGGGGGGGGGGTCGACGCCAAACAGGAACAAACAACAAACAACAAACAGCAAACAGCAGCAGCAACAGCAACAGCAACAACAACAATAATCAGCATCACGGAATCCTTTTTCAGTCACGCACCCAGGGACTGAATGACCGTTCGGCCCCCTCACCCTGATATGATTTGCAAGAAGAACCGTCAGAGAGGACGAAGTCACGAACTGGAAATAAGATCGGGCCCGTGCGGAGCCGCCTCTCCTTGCCTCTCATTGTGTACCAGAAGCCCGCAGACAAGGATGGGGTCGAGGGACTCTTCTGGGTGTGACAAGTGGCAGCAGCTCAGACAGAAGCCCGAAGAGACCTGGTGGATTCCCCGTGGGCCCTCGTGGGGGGCCGCCCAGGGCTTCCCCTTGGGGGCCTCGTTGGGGCTTGCCAGGCCACTGGGCCCACCGGAACCGCATCACCAGGTTACCTGAACAGTTGACACCACCAGTCCATGAGGCCATCTGCCAGGCTAACCCACGCTACTGGGTCCCAACGCCATGGGGTCAGCTCGTCATCGGCTCACGAATCATTTTCACATTGGGTCAAATCCACTCGGACAATATCTGGTGGCGTTTGGGCGCCATGTTGGATGATTTTGGACATTCCAACTGGCAGCGACCCTTCGGGTCTAACCCACGTGGACGGGAACTGCCAATTCCTCCCTGACGGGAACAAAACAAATAATTCAAGACGCTTCGCGTTCACCGCCCGCCCACTCCAGTTCTCGCCGGACGAGGCGAAGTCGGTTCCACGACGGCATGAACATATGCAGAAAACCATACGCGACCTCCCGCAGGTGTGTTTGGTTGTTTTTGCTTGCGCTCCATTGTTGTTCCCAACCCGTAGCCTGTTACGGTCAGGCATGCCGCGCGGCTGATCGATCGTAGATTTGCCGCTTGGTCGTCGTCCCGTCATCAGTACCGACGGACCAGTGATATGGACGGTGGCTCTTTGGGCCTTTGTTTGTTTTCCACACCAGAGGGTCACAAATAGGCCGAACATTGCCCAAGGACAACTCAAAACGGCCCGAACGCTGCCTAAAACAAGCCAAGCAGGGACCCATGCGGCTCATGCGAGCGTTGAACGGCCGAAGCGATAGCTCGTCCGTGTTGGGCCGTAACTCCGTCGGAATGCCATTGAAAAGCGGGCTGGTTTGGGGCCAGTTTGGGTTTTTTTTGTGGGGTCTATGTGAAGCCCAGGAGCGTCCAACATTGATCTTGGATCGAGTCCACAAGCGACGTAGGTGTGGGAGCAGGCGCATGTAGGCTCAGCGCGAGTTCTAGGTCCCAGGTAGGGGGTCGGGGTTCTGACGATGCATGCGGGCGTCTTGGATGTTGTTTGTCTTGGACGTCATGTTCTGTTTGGGCGTGAACTCAGGCATGGCGTGCGGCGTCATGTTGCTTCATGCCATAACACGTGACACACTGCCCGAGATCTAGTGGCCTTCGTGCTTGGGCTGTGGGTTCCGAAGCCTCTTGGATGCTGCTCGGGGTTGCGTGGAATGCTTTGCGAAGGCACATGTCTACTGTATGGTGTCTGGGTTGGTGCAATCGGGATGACTCAAGTAGTACCGAAGTGGTATCGTGAGCGTCATGTGGACCCTTGCGGGCGTGGATCCCTGGTGCCAGGGAGGTGTCGGATGGTTCATGGCTGAAGTGGCATACCAGTGGTACCGCCGGAGGCATGTCGATCGAAGGGAGTGGGGTTGGAAAAGGGGGATGAGGAGCAGGATGATGAGGAGGATGAGGAGGACGTGGAGGAGGAGGAAGAGGAGGAGGAGAGAGAGGAATGCAATAGAGGTGACGCAGGGAACAACAACGACGACGACGATGACGACGACGATGACGAGGACGACGACACAGGTAAGCCAGGCGTAAACCATAAAAGTCTGTGTCCGCGAGGCTCCGGGATGCCTCTTGGGTGCTTCTTGAGTATGCAGGCTTCAAGTGGTACCATTCGGGTGCCAGTGAAGTCTCTCGGGCCCTCTTGGGGATGCTGTTGGGGCCTCTTCTGGGCCTGTCGAGGGGGTCTTCGGGCCTCTTGGGGGCCTCGTGGGGTTTCTTGGGGTTCTTGGGGCCTCCTGTGGGGCCTCTTGGGGCGGAGGGCTCGACAAGTTTGTTCGGGCTCCTCCTGTGGGCCACTCTTGGGCCGTCCTTGGGCCGCCTTGGGGCCCTCTTGGGCAGCATTGTGGTCTTTTTGGCAGCCTCTTGGGCCGTCTTGGGGGTCGATCTTGGGGTCCTCTTGGGCTGTGTTGGAGCCCTCTTGGGCCATCTTGGGGCCCACTTGGGTCGTCTTGGGCCCTTCTTTTGGGTCCGTTGGGAGGCCCAAGTGGGCCCCCGAATCTTCCAAAATGGACCCCAGAGCGCGCCGAAAAACGGCGCCCCAATTTGAAATATGAAAATCTCCAGACGAGCCCGAAAGGCAGTTGTAAGAAGCGTCGGGGTCACCCTCGGGGAAGCGAACATCGTGAACAAAAACGTAGTATTTGCGATACTTTTCAACCTTCCAGCTTTTCGGCGAGAGCGGGCCACGAAGGCACACTCGAGGGCCCTGGGAGCAGATTTTGGAGGCCAGGATGGGGCCCCGAAGGGACCGAAATGGCGCCAAAATGCGCCCCGGAGGCGTCCTCAGAACGACATGTAAACCGAGCTCGTCGTGGAAGCAGTCTTGGAGGCGTCTTGGGGACCGAAAAGGGGCTTGGGCGCAGCCAGGCGGCGGAATGGCGGAGGCCTCCAGGGGGTATTAAGTGAGGGAGGACTAAAGCACTGTAAGGCGCTCTAGTTAAGTTCCACACGCCCCTCAGCCCGGTGGGCGGTCGGATTCGGCTTACGCCATTCCGCCATCCCCCAGAAGGAGTCAGAGCTTGCGACGATCGTGGAAGTTAATCGAAGACGCCTGCGGCGAATCACCGCCGCCCCCTGCCCTTGTGGAAGCGCCTATGTGTCCGACAGCTGGGCTAGAGCTTGGCCAACCTATCGGACCATGTGTTCCCCGAGTCGGTTTGGAAAGGTTTCGGGGAACGCGGGGGGGAGGAAGGGGAAGAGGAGGAGAAGAAGGAAACAGGAGAAGGGGGAGGATGCCTCTTCGGAGCCTCTTGAGGCACTCTTGGGCTAGAGTTGTCGGGGGCCTGTGTGGGCCAGAGGCCCCTTGCATCCTTTCTTGGGTGTCTTGGGGTGTCTCTTGAAGGCCTCTGCGAAACATCCTGGGGGGGCGTCTTGGGGGTCTCTGGCCCGCTCTTGGGGAGCCTCTTGGAGCGTCTCGGGTGCCTCTGGGGGGCTTATTGGGGCCTCTTGGGGCTCTCTTGGGAACTTTTCGGGCCGTCTTGGGGCCACATTGGAGGCTATCGGTGAAAGAAGGGGGTGTCCTTTAACAGTGTTGCCTCCCCCCCTCCCGCCCCCTCAGCCCAGGAGTCTAACATTGTCCCAGAACCTACGCAAAACAAGTGTTCTGTGCCTTCTCGCTGAAGCCTTCTTGGACTGTCCAACGCCTCGCTGGCCGCCCCGTCACGTCTAGACCCGGGGGGGGAGGGTGGAGGGGGAGGGGCAAACCTTTCCCCAAAGGTGAAGACAGAGGCTGGAAGAGGCAACGCCCTAAGCTACTTCCTCCCCTGGATGGCTGGTGGGATCGGTGGGCGGAACCTCGTGGCGAATTGCAGATTAATTTGCGCAATCTCCATTCAGAGGCGCGAGGGCTTGCTTTTGCAATCGGCACTTCTGAGTGCCCGAGTGGTCATCGGAATTCGCTGCTGCCTTCATTGGTAGGCAGAACCTCCTTGCAAATCGTGGGACAGCTTGTTGGATCTCCTTTCAGGCGCTGTGATGATAAGCCGTAGATGGGGTTCTCGTGATGGGAAGAGTCCGAGCCTCTCGCCGGCAATCCACGTCTTTGGGCCATGGCGCGCCCGCCTGGATGTCGAGCTTAGGATGATACATGAAGGGATTTCGAGAGCCCGAGCAGACGGCCGTGAGGGCTTGCTTTTCGAGAACCTCCGCTCGAAAGAGCTGGTGGGATGAGCAGGCGGAACCTCCCTGGAAGTTGTAGGGCAAACTGTTGTGTATCCGTGCAGAGGCTGTGATGATGAGCAATTGATAGGAACATCCGGTGCTGGGTGAGGATTATTTCGTGGTAGGAAGAGTGCGAGCCTCACGCCAACAATTCAGATTGTGGGGCCATGACGCGCCCGCCTGGATGACGAGCTCGAGGCGCCACCAACAGCACGAGGATGACACATGAAAGGATTTCGATAGCCTGAGCAGACTGCCGTGAGGGCTTGCTTTTGCAATTGGTACTTCTGAGTGCCCGAGTGGTGATTGGGGTTCCGTGCAGCTTACATAGGTAGGCGGAACCTCCTCGCAATTTCTAAGTCAAATTTATGGACTGTCGTTCAGAGGCTGTGATGACAAGCTATAGCTAGCTAGTAACATAGAATTTGGCTCCGGATGAGCATTTACTCAGTGATAGGAGTACGAATCTCCTGCCAGCGGTTCAGATTTGTGTGCCATGTCCTGCCGAGCTCAAGGTGCCACTTTCCAGTACGAGGAGGATACATAAGGATTTCGAGATCCCGAGCAGACTGCCGTAAGGTACTTCTGAGTGCTTGAGTGGTGATCGGGGCTCGTTGCAGCTTTAACTTGTAGGTGGCACCTCCTGGCACGCTGTATGGCAGTTCGCCGGGTCTCCATCGATAGGTCCCACAGGGTGTGCTAATAAGCTCTCTATATATATGTATTCTTGGTTGCCCCCCCAAGATCATACATCTCGTCTTGAATCGCATTCATCATTCTCCTCATGAACCCTGTCGTGAGATTCGTCTGGGTCGTGTTTCGGCGAGATAATCTTGTGCGTCTCGGAGCGATCTCTGGTCGTTTCGGCGCTGCCTTCGCCCGTCTTCGGGGGTCTGTCGAGGGTCAGGCAAATCCGCTCAAAATGAGTGTCCAGGAAGATGAGGAAGAGGAGGTGGAGGAGGATGTGGAGGAGGAGGAGGAGGAGGAGGAGGAGGAGGAGGAAGAGGAGGAGCAGGAGGGCAGTCACTGGCGCTGAACCCTTCGGGGCTCGTGCCACTAGCGCTGAACCCTTCGGGGCTCGTGCTACTTCAACTGGTGGCGCTGAACCTCTCGGGGCTCGTGCTCGCAGTCATCTGGCGCTGAACCCTTCGGGGCTCGTGCCAGAATGTAGCGCTGAACCCTTCGGTGCTCGTGCTGCTTGAACTGGGGGCGCGGAACCCTTCGGGGCTCGTGCTCGCAGTCACCTGGCGCTGAACCCTTCGGGGCTCGTGCCAGGAAGTAGCGCTGAACCCTCCTGGGCTCGTGCTCGCAGTCACGTGGCGCTGAACCCGTCGGGGCTCGTGCCACTAGCGCTGAACCCTTCGGGGCTCGTGCTATTTCAACTTGGGGCGCTGAACCTCTCGGGGCTCATGCTCGCAGTCATCTGGCGCTGAACCCTTCGGGGCTCGTGCCAGAATGTAGCGCTGAACCCTTCGGGGCTCGTGCTGCTTCAATTGGGGGCGCGGAACCCTGCGGGGCTCGTGCTCGCAGTCACCTGGCGCTGAACCCTCCTGGGGCTCGTGCCAGGAAGTAGCGACCCCCAGAAATCCCGCAGGAACAAACCCAAGCCCCCCCCCCCGCCCTCCGCACGGGATCTGGGGGGGAACCCTCCCGACCCCTGGAGGGTTCTTAGGTTTTCCGGGAGGTTCCCAGGGGGGGTCCAGGGAATTTCCACACCAGTCGCCGCGGGCAATCAAGATTTGTGGGCCATGACGCGCCAGCCTCGATGTCGAGCTCAAGGCGCCACCTCCAGCACGAATATGATACATGAAGGGATTTCGAAAGTCGTGAGATGACCGCCGCGAAGGCTTGCCTTTGCAATTGGTACTTCTGAGTGCACGAGTGGTGATTGGGGTTCGCTGCAGCTTGACTTGGTAGGTTGGAACCTGCAGGATACCCGTTCAGAGGCTGCGATGAGAAGTGATAGATGGGGACATCCGATACCGAATGAGGATTTATCCCGTGATAGGAAGAGTCTGAGCCTTTCGCCGGCAATCAAGATTGTTGGGCCATCTCCGTAGCCAGTTTGGCTCAAGCCGTCTTGGCACCCATTCGACAAACGCACAGTCTGGGTGGATTGATGTGGTGAGCTGGTGCTCTAATCACCCACCTTTGCATGTTTCGTGGCCTCATTGTCGTCAGCTTCGCCAGAGTAGCAACATGCATAGTTGTTGACAGGACTTCGCCAGTGTCAGTATATGCGTCTCACATCGGCCATGAGCAGACGCTGAGCCCTGGCACGCAACAGAAATATGCGCTGGCAATCAGCGCGAAGGGAATGAACAGTCACTACGGCAGCGGTGTTCGCCAGATGGCCCTCATGATGGATCTGAAGAACTGCGGCTTCGGCGTAGACACTCTGACAGAGGAGGGCTATGATTCCCCCGACTGGGGCTCCCGCAAGGCTATGGAGCTACTCTCAGCGTCCACGAACTTTCACGTCAGGCCAGGCGGAAACAGATCCAGCTTCAACGCGTCCCGCGTCCAGAAGCTGATGCACCGGTACACCCACATCTACCTCTTCGGATGGGCTTGGGAGCTGGAGTTCACCTACTCGGCGGAGACTGCGCTGAAGGCCCTGGAGAGGGACCCGGACCTGCGCGGCCGGGTCACCCTCGTGCTGGACGACAACCCGTACAACCGGTGCTACGCGGGGCACGAGCTGGCCTTCTGCCGCACGAGGGCTCCGACCATGGTCAGCCGCTGGCTCAACGTGAGCTCGCGGGCGATGTCCATCTCAGACGTGGACGCCGCTGAGCTCAACCGCATGAAGTCCCGCCTCGGGCTCCCAGGGCCAGACTTCGAGGCGTGGCCCCTGAACCTTGAGCACGTGGAGGAGTTGTTCAGCTCCAGCCTCCAGGCGGAGATTCCGCAGAACTGGACCCAGCCGTACTTGACCATGGTGGCCAACGATCACGCAGAGAACAGAAGATTCGTGTCCGAGCTGGTCAGCGGGGGGCACCTAGATGAGATCTGCGACAAAACGGAGGCTGTGCCATCGGGTATCAGGCGACTGAAGGTCGTCTTCGTCGGCGCGATCTCCCGGTACATGATGTCCAAATTCCCCGGCAAGATGGCAAGATTGCGGAAATCCTGCGTGCTCATGAAGATGGAAGTCTCGATGGAGCAGCTCCAGCGCGATATCATGCCGCAGACGCTGGCGCTTCTCAACCCGTTCTTGGATACGGTCAATAGTGGGATCAGCGTAAAGACTTTCGAGGCCGTCGCCATGGGCGTGCCGATTGTGACATCGATGGCCGGCTTCCGCGGCCTCGAAGAGTGCGGCAAGCGTCTTGAAAGGGCTGGCTTGCTCGCCTCTGGCACTGCCGCGGGGTACGTCGACCTCATCAGCACCAAGCTAGTCGACCCAGAGAAGGCCGCCAAATTCAGGTCGATGCAGCGAGATCTACTTCATACCTGCGTCGTCGAGCAGAAGGCGGAGTGGCAGAACGCGTGCGTGACGAAGATAGGCAGAGGCAGCCAAGTAGCATGAACACACTCGGCCGCTCCAGTCGGCAATCGGGAGCGGGTGCGCGCTTCATGCGGCGCTGTCAATTGCAATATTTCTGACACAGATTTACAGGTGCTGGCTGCAGCCAGCTGAGCGCTGCGATATATCCACATGCACTGCGTCCATTGCGGCTTTTCCCCAAGGTGGGTTAGAACCACTGCAAGTGCGACTGTTGAGGACGTAGGTTGCACGAAATGAATGCTGCAGGGACGCTTCATGTGGAGGTGTATTTGATTTGGGATTTGAGCTCTAGGATGCTCGCCCGCCTGCCTCTCGCGGTCAGGCCTGGGCTAGGATCATTGGATCGAGCCTGCCAGACCAGTGTAGCTTGTACACGCCTGGAAAACATATTTGGCGGCCATGACGCGCCCGCCTGGGTGTCGAGCTCAAGGCGCCACCTCCAGCACGAGGAGGATACACGAAGGGATTTCGAGAGCCCGAGCAGACCGCCGTGGGGGCTTGCTTTTGCCCTTGGTGCTTTGGAGTTTTGCATTGGTACTTCTGAGTGTCTGGGGGTTCGCTGCACCTTTCATCATTAACGCTTCGCGTATCCCCAGCATCCCATCCAGACACGATGTCCAGTGGAGCTGCCCTGAACGGGGGAGCGTGGCATCATTTGGAGTTGTCGGGGGCCTGAGTGGGCCAGAGGCCCCTTGGATCCTTCCTTGGGTGTCTTGGGGTGTCTCTGGAGAGCCCCTTAGAGGTATCTTGGGGTGTCTTGGAGGCCTCTCGTCGACTCTCGGGGGGCCTCTTGGAGCGTCTTGCGTGCCAGTCGGGGGTCTCTTGGGAGCCTTGGCCTTGGGAGCCTCTTGGGGCTCTATTGATGGCTTTTCGGGCCGTCTTGGGGCCATCTGGGAGACCATCGACCAAAGAAGGGGGGTCCTTCAACAGCGTTGCCCACCCCATGAGGCCAACATTGGCCCCAAACCTGAGGCACATCAATGATCTGCGCCTTCTCGCTGAGGCCGGCGGCCCTCTTTGAACGCACCCAGAGGGACCTTTTCCCCGAAGGGGAATGAGAGGTTTGGAAGAGGAGTCCTAGACCACCTCCTGCCCTAAAGGGCTGGAGGAGTCTGAGCCGCTTGTCAGCAACACAGATTGGGGGGCCACGGCGCGCCCGCCGGGATGTCGAGCTCCAGGCGCCACCTCCGGCACGAGGATGATGCATGAAGGGATCTCGAGAGTCCGAGTAGGCCGCTGTGAGGGCTTGCCCGAGTGCCCGGGGGTTCGCTGCACCTTTGTTTATTTCGCGTTTCGCGTATCCCCAGCATTCCTTTCGTTCGTTATCCCTCCTGCCCCCTCTCTTGCGCAATTTAGGCCGTAGCCAGCGCGCTATGACTTTGACGGCGTGCGGCACCTCCGTATCGCTTGCGATCAAAACGTATCAGGCTCAGTATTTCAAAGAGGACGTGACTACCTGGGCAAAACGTTATTTGACGAAAGCATACGAAAAGCAACATGAACCAGCTGTATATTCATTGCCTTACAAGAAATCGGCTTATATGTTGCGTTACAGGTGACATTTCCCGTGAATCGGCCCGCCACAACCGGTGCCGATATCGATGCAGCCAACGGGCTGGAAGAAGATGAAGCGGACTCGCGTCCTGCGGCTTCGCCGTTAGAGACAGACAATCGATTAAGGATCCCCAATTATGGGGATAGGTTGTGAAATGGACCACTGTAATACCCTCATTCATACTCCTTATTCACATGTCTCCTGGCCGTTTGGGCTCAGGTATTGGCATTGATCAGATTGTTGATCGCACAGGAGGAACAGATCCCCGTCTTTCCCTCCTTCCTCTACCTACGGATCAGGGTTTCTGTACCTTTGTACTCTAACCCCACACACAGGTCATCATCCCTTCTAGCGCACCATTCACCGAACCCTGCGTCGCGATCTCGTTCGCAGCCCCGATGGAGCCCCGACGGCGCATGCGCCGTAAGGGATCCTTCGAGGTTTCGCGTCCGAGCTTTCCGACGGCGCGACGGTTCGGCGATGAATTGGAGAGCCTTGGAGGTGACCGTGTGGGTGTTCCAGATACCCCCCCACAGCTCCGACGGACCCGAGGCGCGACTAGCTGCTGAACTTCGCCGCCACGCCGCCCACGGGGGGACAGGAGAAAGAGTAGGAACAGGTATTGGAGGATTCCACACGCCTACCTTCGACCCTCCATCTTCTTACGTCGGGAGCAATCACTACTGCGTCGGGCGCAAGCCCCACTGGTCCCGATACTCCAGGGCGCTTCCGCGCTAACTGCCGTTGGACCAACAGCGCTGGCCCAGCCAGCCCTGCCACTGCCCCAGCGTCGGCACACGTGGCCGCCTTCGAGGGGCTCGGTAGACCAGTGGCGGCGCAGCCGCAGACGCAGCATCCCAAGGTATCATCACCCCGTCAGACACCACGCACACGGCCCTGGCCGCAGCTCGTCCACGCGTAACCGTCGCGAGGCCGCAGGCCCCTACGACGAGACTAGGTCGAGCCCGCGTGCGGCCTCCCAGAGGCCACGCACTCCTCGCGAGAGGGTGCACCAAGGCGCAGACGCTCCTCACCTCTTCCTCTCGGACGACCTGCCGGCGGCCACGTCCGCTGCAGGTGACCTTGCTGAGCTGCGAGACCAGGTTGAAACCTTCGTGCCCAGGCAATACTCTGGACTGGCGCAGAGCGTTCAGACGAATGCTGCGCGCACTGCTGCTCGACGCCAAGACTTCGACGGCGCCTTAGCGATCATATATTCCAGGATTGCTGAAAATCGTCGTGTCTTAGGAGAAGTGCAGTTTCAGGTTGACCGCGAGATGTCGTACTCAGGTGAGCGGTCTGATACGGTCGAGCACCTGCGCAACTACCTTGTGCAGATGGAGCAACAGCTTGTGGTCGTCCGCGACGCAGGCGTTTCTGCGGTCAGGATCCTGCACGATGAGATCCATGATCAGCTCCGAAACCGACCGCCTCCATCCGAGGCACGCGACCTCGGCGACGTCTACTGCCAAATCAATGATCTTCGATCAAACATGGACCGCTCTACGGCTACGCTTCGTGCTGAAGCAAGTACCAACTCGTCGACCCTGATCGGCATGTTGCAAAATACTGAGAGAGTCATCGCTCAACGGCTTGATGCGACCGACGCTGTCGTGCAGCCCTTCGCTAACCGGATCTCTGTGATCGAGCAGCGTTTACTTGGTGTGGCAGGTTGCGTGTCGGAGGGGCCCAGACTGGCCAGCTGGGATCTCCTCCCACGGTTTACGATTTCGCCCACATCACTGACAGGTTGCAGGAAGTTAAGACGGCGGCGGACCACGCGCAGTCTGAGCTCTCCCAGGCCCTTCGGGACAGAGATGCTGAACAAAAGTACGTGTTGAGGAGTGTCTCGCACGTCTGGAAAGTGAAATGGAGGCACAAGACGCCCGTCTCCGAGCCTACGAGCAACGCCTCGATCGGTATTCCCAACGCTCTTGGGACACCGACGATGAGATCACATTGCCCAAGCACGGTTTACGATTTGTACGCCAAAAGGTGGATCACATACACGAGGACATGACGAACTTGACAAATCTACGGATTGACCACACCAACGACACTACACTTCACCTTCAGCCTTCGCCAGGCCCCCCCAGGCCGACGGCAGCGTCCGCTGAAGCGCCGCACGGTTCTGCAGGACAACCAAGACGTACGTCGCCAGGAGCAGCCTCCGTGGCAGCTTCTGCACAGACACGTCAATTGTCTCCAGTGCGCGCAGAACCAACCACCGACGGTGTACCGATGCCCTCACAGTTGCTGTCTGCGGTTTCGGTCAACACTACTACTCCTATCAAGGAGTCAGACACCGTCAGAGCCCCTGTATTGCCCAAAATCACACAGCTGCTCGAGTGGCAGCAAAAGGTACGGAAGAACTTTGGGGGCGCTTCAGAGCGCCCCTCCAAAGCATGCGCCTTCCTACGCGTGGCTGAACAGCCCGAGTGTACCTTTGATGATTTGCAAGACAGCGGTGACTTCGAGAGCATCGGTTACAAACTCGCCACTGCTCTCAGCGACATCTTATCCTCTGACCTGCACTTCCAGATCGGGCTCATCGAAACCAGGAAACACAAAGCTGGACGAATGCTGAAGGGACGCCAGATATACTGGCACATCCTACAGTCCTAGAAAGTGACCGAGGTTGATGACGACCTACACGATTTTGACCACCTCAAAGAATTTAGGATGAGAGACGAAGATTTGCATTGATTTATTACAGACTGGGACGCTTTATTGTTGGACTGCCGAGAGGCACCCGACCCCAAGATTTTAGCTATGTTTCGCGCGCAGATTCGCCGACATACTTGGATGAGGCAGGACATGTACGAGTATCAACGAATGAAGATAAGCGGCCCACATCGTACCTATGAATGGCTTCGCCAACGTGTTCTCGACGCTCTGGAGATGAAACAACTCGAGAATAATCAAGACAAGCTACGGTACGAGTAGGAGAACCGTTCCCAGGTGAACATCTGCGCAGCCTGGAACAAAGGCAACTGTCGGAACGGGGACCGTTGCAAGGCTTTGCGTACCTACTCCAGGGGTGGGAGAAACGGCAGATCTCCCCGCCCATCTAACGCCGGCGGCGACGCTCGCCGAAGCGCGTCGGCCCCTGCGAGTTCGAAAAAGCAAGGATCGAAGCCGTTCTGCTTTGAACTCGCTAAGCGCAGTTCCTGCGCACGCGGTGATAAATGCAACTTCCCGCGCGCGGCGCCGTGTAGTTACTTCGTACAGAACAAGTGTCACAAAGGTGACAAGTGCAAATCTGCCCACCTCGCAGCTAGTACGAAGACACTTGATAGGGGCCCCAGCCGCCCACGAACTTCCAGTCAGGACAGCCGTGGCCGTTCGCCATCCCGCGGGTCAGGAAGCAGACGCTCTCCACAACGCGGGGGGGTTCGGAATGCGGGGGCCCATGCAATCGACGTGACCACAAACGCCAACGCGACCGCTCTCGATCACCCTCCAGGAAATTTACCGACTCCCGCAGTCAGTCGAGAGGTCGATACGATAGATCATCACGATCATCTTCCCGAGGAAGAGACGGACGTGGCGGAGGACGTGGCAGCCCACGTGGCCGCGACAGATCATCTGGCAGTGACAGAGGACGTGACCGCCGTTCCATGTGCCGCAGTTCATCCCGTGCCCCCCCTAGGTTTCGAGCACTCTCTCCTGCTATTAATCGCCGCCCACGCCGCTGCGACCGTAGTTACGTCATACGTGACAAGACCTGTATGGCCGTACACAAGGCCAAGAAGGTATCTACCAAACCACGACGTCGGATACGTTTCGACACACACACAATGTGGAATAGTTCCCGTACATCGTTTCTGGCAAGGCCACTCTCGACAAGTGGATCGACAAGCCGAGCGAAGGCGACATTGTCAAGATACCAGATCCGCTACCGCAGTGGTGGCGGAAACAAAGTGCT